ACATCGCCTCCACCATACAGCTAGAGTTCATTATTGGACAATAGACAGTCAGTATTCAGTGTCTTTTTTTAATCGACGAGGTGGAGAAACATATCTATGTAAGTAAAAGCCCAGAGCACAATAATACATATCGTACAAAAATGAACATATGGAGAATTTTGCATACACGCAGCTTATATGTTATAGCCTGGGTACCATCCTACTTGTATGACGGGGCTCCCACACTCGCTTCCCTAAGAAGTAGTCTGGAAATGGTTAGATCTGAACCATCTGGCTCGGTCAGATTTTGCCCGAGTGTGCTGATTGGTCCCTTCTGTCTTGCTCATTAGCCTAACGTCCTTCTCTGTATGTGGTGATGCTTATCTCCTGCCTGCCCAGCAGGTATCACTGACCAAGGAAAGGTTTGTTTATTTATCTTGGACGGAGTGTAGTAGCCATTGAGAGACACTGTTGTCATGATTTTGCTAACATTTGAAGTAACAGAGCCACAAAGAACATCTTGCAATAAAGAAAACTACAAGAAATTGTTGTACTCAAGGTAAATTTGTGGCTGCACTTGCCATACATATGCAGCAACTTTTTTGCCCTTACCAAAACAGCACATGGCCACGTGGACTTTGTACTGATGGGTCAGCTACTAGTGGAAGAGGCTCCGCCCAGCCCTCCCCATGTGGCCTACCTCATTATGTGATATCATCACCAAGCCAAATAGATACAAGCGTTTCCAGACTACTTCTTAGGGAAGCGAGTGTGGGAGCCCCGGCATACAAGTAGGATGGTACCCAGGCTATATATGTTAGCCTGGGTTCCAGACACATAGCACACTGGACTCAAAATATATCAGTGACAGGCTCACTGAGATATTTTGTGTCCAGTGTGCTATGGGACTGGAGCCCAGGCTACTTATATGTGTGCATATAAACTGCTGTATCATGTACCCACATGATACTGAGAGAACTCTCACTTCTCTTATCTGTGGTGACGCCAGCCATGTACGTTATCAGCGATCATTTACGACTCTCCCGTGACTGCGGGTTGTTATCGAAGGGTCCCGGCTGAGACTCCAATAACGTGCCAGAGATGTTGGCAAGTACTCTTTAAACCAGTCTATCACCTTTACGCCTTCTATTTCTAACAGTTTACATCTACCAATATTGTTGTTGTTGTCCTTGTTTAACGTCTATTATGTCGCTAGACGTGTACTAAGTTTTACGCGTTCAGTTCAGAGTCAGTTGTCTCTCTAGGTACACTTGGTGACTAATCTGAGGACCACACAATAGAAAAACTATGTGAATCCAGTTGTTAAAAAGATAGAAGTCTTCAAGACCTAGGTTTGATAGAATGTTCTTTCTAGTAGTTCCCAAGAATTCTTTTATCCTTGTATCCTAAGTACTTATAATATTATTCAGTAGAGGTCTATGATATACATGTACATGGAACATCATACCCTGATGTATGCATTTAGTCCCATGGGCATGAACATGCAATAAAGAATCAGTATAGTTGAAGATATTTTACTGGCCGTCGTTTTCAGGGTTTCTATTATTTTCATAGCCATTATAAACCAACGATGGTGTTGTGTTGTTTAAGCTTTTGTTTAAGTTCAGGGAATTTGGTCACATCGGTATGCTCTATCAATCTTCAAGGTTCTATTAAACGTACAAAGCTACACAAGGTTGTATTAAGAAGCGGTGGTACAGATATTGACCTCAAGAATTTTGTATCAGAAACATTTCCTCCCTTGAGACAAGCTGAAGCATCGATCAATCTGCCGTGAAATGTAAGGGACCGATCAAGAAGTCCATCGTGCGCGGGGTCTGAGATGGATTGTTCCCAAGGGTTTGCCAGCAAACCACGTATGTTAGCATGACTTGTACACCCCCGCTTAATTATCTGGCTACAACGTAAGAAATCGGAGATTTTCAGAATTCCAGGAAGTATGCAATCCTTGGCTTCCTGCATTCCCCCATATATTGACCAATTCTTGCTGGCTGTCAGTCTTTCTCCCACCCACGTGCTCTCAACCTACTCTGGACAAACAAATACACCAACCCACAGCTCAGTCACCCCAAACAATACTATACTTCCGTACCAGTAAATGATAAGTTACGCATAGCGAGGGACACAGCAATAGTACAACAACACCTAGCTTCAGTGCACAGAAAATAGCCATATTTAATAGCTCTGGTGAAGATGACAGACGGTCATCGAAACGTCGACTCATGTAAAACAAATGTTGTGAATAAAAAAGCTTTAGTTACTATTTAATCATTTGCCAAACTGATGGAATTATTTACGGAGGGACACCATATGAAAACACTTCGTAGTCTTCTCTGTACTGATATTGACGGATTTACGGTAGAGGTACTAAAAAGACAGAAATATATACGGTAGCAGGGTCCCTTTCATGATGGATGGACGTAATCAAGACAAAGTACGCGCAGTCATGCCGTCTCACCCCTAAAGCGGCAGGAATCAATACGCGCCAGCCCCCACACCCCCGAACACATACCCAGAAACATGCAATCTACGCGCCATTAGCGCTAAATGCAATACGGCATCCGCACAATCTCTCCGTAACGTGACTTTCAGCGCCGCCGGCCACAGGACGAGTTATTGGAATTTAGATAGAAATGGAAAGCGAGCAAGTGAAAGTGCCTTTCCATGGTTAGACTAATATGGAATGGTCTGTGTGTCCTCTGAATGTGTCACACGGTCACAATCGTGTTAAATCGTTATTATACACGTTCTGGAGAAATATGCACAAAAGCTGGAGATGGATAACCTATTTTTTTATGGGTTCACCACAAAGTCTTGAATAATCATTACATATAAAGTGACAAAAATTGCTTATAATGCTGTTACCAACTGTTTGGAAAGTTGATTACCTTCGCCAAGAAGGTTATGTTTTCAGTAGCGTTTGTCCGTCTGTCTGTCTGTGAACAGCATAACTCAAGAAGCTTAGTATGCATTGTCATGAAACTTGGTAGGTGGGTAGGTCTTAATGAGACCTAGAAATGATTAGATTTTGGGCCCCCTGGCGGCTTTTGTTGGTACTGCAGCAGAACTTCCGGTTTTGATATCTCGCGATCTGGACATGCTAGGGTCACGAATTTTGGTTGGTAGATAGCTCTTGAGGTAGGGAAGAAGTGACATGAGTTTGGGGCCCCTAGCGGCTTGTTCTGGAACTGCAGGAGCATTTGTTGAAACATTTTTGAAGGATGATAACTCAAGAACCGGTTGACGGATTGTTGTGATTTTTGGTATGTAGGTAGCTGAAGGGATGCTTGACATAATCAAATGACAATTATGCAAATCAGGAGCTAATTTGCATAATTAATGAGGAAATTCTATAAATCTGCTTTGTTCAATAATAGGACTATGAAACACTTGTGACATGTAATTGAGAATGAAAAAAAACATCTGAGGATATAGATTATGTAAATGAAGACCTAGTTTGCATAATAAATGGAAAATTTTAAAAACCTCATAGTTGTAACTGCTGGGAATTTCATACTTGCCACATTTGGAAGTTAAGTGAAGGCGAACAACAATAAACATAATTTATTCAAATCATGACCTCATTTGCATAATTTATGAGGAAGTGCTATAAAAGCCTTTTTGTTAAGATAAGACTGTCATTGGGTGGAGAATATGATCATCTGATGTAATCCATGCAAATGAGGCTCTTATTTGCAAAATCAATTATCAAAATTGTATTATTCTTCAACCGCAAGTGTTAACATCATTTGGCGAAGGTATGAGATCGTGGAACTCTTGTTTTGTTCATAATTTTCTTGGTTCGTGCTTTTGTTTTTGATTGAAGTTCCTTGTTGGGCTCAATATTACAACTCTTGCTGGTTGACTTTTGCCGTGGTATCAACCACATCATATTCTTATGATAATCAGCTACAGCATATCCTTGTGACAACGAACGTAAACGTTGATATACCTTTATTTTTCATGTTGTTGGCTTGGCTTCGTGTAAATTTTTCATGTAAATGTGTTAATATATATTAATATTTACATACAGATCATGAATGTATCAGCGTTAGATACCATGGGATGTGCTTAATGCAGGCTAACTGCTTTTTCGAACCAGTCCCAAACACGTGGTACCGCAGAGCTAAGGGAGATCACTAGTGGTATGTCACGATGTTGGCCTTGAACTTCCCCGTTAATGTCCCGCCTGACGCGGCTCCTGGTGTGTGTGTAGAGGTCTGGGTCAGGTGCTGGTGTTAAAACTGGACACTTGCCAGCCACGTGAGTCTCCACGTGCTTACACGGTGCCTTGTCGTGGTTTGTGATAAAATCATGCAGCATTTTATTATATTTACTTGGCTGCTTCATGTTGTCTTCATACAGTCAGAGCTAAGATGAGTTCTCTGTGAGAAAAGTCGTGAACAGAAGGCGAAAGGGGTTTCCAGTCCACAAGCATAGTAAAAGAAAATCATTAGGCTAAGTACATTACCTCCTTTGGAATCGTCAAGGGTCCAAGCACTGATGCAGTGATTTTCTCAGATGTTCATTCCTATCGAAAAGCTAGTACTACTACTATAGTCTAGTGCTAGTGAGTGAAGTCGGCTTCTTCTCGCCCATTTTTGTCGCCCCATTGCGATGTTGGAAATGATATATGTAAGAAGATACAAACGAGATCATGTTTTATGATCAAAGGTTAGCCTAAAAATTATTTATTAGAAATATTAATTATTTCGTTACTTCAGGGAGCAGACGCACGGTGGATGTGATAGACATGAATAATAAATCATTACAGTGTTTCCACCTAACACGTTGTCTCTGTTGTTATTTATTGTTTACATGCGGTGTGTTTACCCCAGGCAGCAGACGCATGGTGGACGTGATGGACGTGAATAAATGATGCGTGTTGTTATTTATTGTTTTGCGTGTGCCGTGTGTTATATCTACCCCAGGCAGCAGACGCATGAGGAACGTTTGTTGTTATTTATTGTTTACCTTGGTTATGTTTATGTTTACCGCAGGAAGCAGACGCATGGTGGACGTGATGGACGTGAACACACAGAAGGGTATAGAGATGTCCATGCAGCAGTGGACCAGGTACTTCGAGCAGAAGGAGCGGGAGAAACTGTACAACGTCATCAGCCTGGAGTTCAGCCACACCCGCTTGGAGAACCACGTGGTGCAGCCTGAAGTGGTAAGGCTTTTCAGGAAGAGCTCGTGATTTTTATTACCTTGTGTTACATATCTATTATCTTATTTTTCTGTATTAATCTTTCTGGTTTTATGTGTAAGTGGTAGCGTTATGGTAAGTCCCTCCGCTGACACTTTGTGTGTTTCACTAAAAAAAGAGCTCAAGATACATTACAATTGTGCATTGTGCAGTGTTTTCAGCATTTGTCCAACCAATTCAACCTACTGCCGTCTTGGTCTTACGTAAGCGTACAAAAGGTCTCCAGTCAAAGTTGCTTGCCTTTTTGGCAGTACGATCTACATGGCACTGAACTCGTATAAAATTTGAGTTGCTAACAGGCATGACAGGGATATATTAAGTATTATACTGACATGTTTTGAAAGAGATGTGTTGATTACACCAAACCACGTACGTACGCGTATACACTAGCAATATACTGGACATCGACAGTACTACCAGGCTGAAGAGACTACTCTCTACTCTACTCTACTCTAGCCACATGTTGGTGGCCCACACAATTCTACTTCCGACATTTTCTTCCAAGATATTGCAATGTGCACCGCACTGTGGTGTACGATTAATAGACCCCCTCCCCCATGAAAGAGTCGGTCACCGTCGTGATAAATCGTTGTTCCCACACGGTGGCCGATGATTTGTTCCCCCGCCAGTGTCCTGACGTGTCGCGGGGGTGACAGAATGGGGCCACCGGGAAATTCCTGGTCCGGTGACCCCTGACTCTTGTGCCAAGGGTTCTTCAATGTCACAGCCCAGAAATGAATTTGTTCAAACTGTTTGATTAGATTAAAACGCAAAGGGGAAAACACGACCATTGGCTGTCATGAAACTCATTACGGACCTTGCCTGAAGGACGAAATTAAATAACACTGGCTGGGTTTAAGTCACATCACCTGAATTTACAGTGAATTTGTAAAAGATAATTATGAGGTTTTTCTTTCATTGGACTGTATTTTATAATTATAGCACTGCAATGTTTGTCTATAAGGGTAATAATGTATGAAAGTCATGTGCCAGATGACCCAATATAAATGGAAACATTATGCAAATACGAACAGTTGAACCCGTGACAAGTTTCCATAGGTTTTAAAATCAAAACAAAACGACAAAGGGACATAGAAAGTTGTGAAACCGGACATTTTCTCACACAGAATGTTCCTATCATACTAGTATGTCATATTAAATATGGATTTGGATACAATGAAAGAAATAAACTCAATTACGTGTAAATAAAACAGTAGTATTGCATGACTTTGCAGGTGCAGTTTTTCCCATAGATAACGCAAATGCACAGAGGGCAGGTCAAATGCTTTCTTTAAATTTACAAGTACAAGTACCGCAGGTTGTGTTGTGTGCTGTAGAACCTTACCCCAGCTGACCTTCAGCGCGCACCAAGGTTGTCTCCGCATGTTTACCGACTTGACATTTCACCATAAGCCGCTCAGAGGTGCGCTGACTACCAGCTGTTGGATCTCTGCCAAGAGTTGTTGTGGTCTTCATGTACACTTGCTGAAATTGTGTATATTTTATCATATCTGTATCATACACGTAGTTTATTGCCTTTAAGTCTTTGTTACAGAACCTTAGAGTACATACAGATGTATATATAGTATAGTGCAGTGTATGTAACATCTTGACCTGTGACCATATAATGCTCTAGGTTCAGAGCAGGGTTGTGGCTGCGAGAATTATGCAGAAGAAATGAGGTTATACCACTGTATGATCTATAACCTCCTTGGAAGAAGGAAAGACGTCATTGCAGACTGAAATGCTCAAGCTGTGTGTACAAAGAGCCACTCCTGTGGGATTTAAAGGATTACGTTCAAGATCAGCCAGATAAGATGAAACATATACACACGTTAGTCCGTGGACCGTGTCTGTAATGAGTTGGGTTTTGGTACCGTGGTTTGTTCAGTTCGTCCCCCGCCACCGTGACCCCTGCCCCGCCGGAGCACGCCTGAGCGCCCCCGGAGACAACACCGGGCCGCGGCACACGCCTGCAGGGATCAGTCCGACACAGCTGTCTATCACAGGCTCCAAGCAGATCATACGGTGGTACCGAAGGTGGATTATGGACACTGCTTGGCCAAGTGGGAGCCTGGTTACCAAATCTATGCTGCCGAGTCTCTGTCGTTCTCTCCGCAAACAGTAGAGGAGAGGACGAAAGAGGCTCGGCAGCAAATATAGGTTTGGTAACCAGGCTTCCGATTGGATACTGCCTTGATCTGTTGAGAGTTTACCTGTCACACGCTCCAGGTAAAGGCTAGACGTGTTTAGGGGGTTGTACGGCTTTCTACAATGAAGCTATTCTTTGGGCAATGTTGGGTATCTTGGTCTCACCAAAAGGAAAGCTGACAAAATGTAAACTCTTCAATGGAGAGTAGTCTATCACTCTTTATACAGCACGGGAAAAGGAGCCTCACATCCAGCCTTTCTCGGTATGTATCCGCTCCCCTTCGGCGGTTGCTGGTCCCCAGGCTATGAAGACCCTGGGCGACAGATGAAAGCAGCAACCTTCTCCCACGGATAAGGAAACCTGAAATTCCGTTCAAGACCTTGAACCATGAGACTGCTGAGAGACAGAACCAGCTCCTTCAAGATGCAACAGTTAAAGTTGTTCATTTCTTAAGTCATTAATACCGATGATATGATTTGTCCTTGTCAGGATATTGCGAGAGAACAATTGAAAAAGGAAGGCTGGGCGCAAGGATGATGCAAGCAGTCGCAGCTTTAGTGTCGATGTTTGATATGTTTTCTGGATCAAACATGTATATAGAACACAACAGATTCCAGTTTCCTAATGTATTGTAGGATCTTGTAGGACTGATACCGTATACAACGCAGCTAAGTGGCTGCTACCATTAGAAATAAGATTTGGTTACGACATTTTATATCGATCGGTCGCTTGATGAAAGTGCGTGCTTTGCTGTCCCGGAATCCAGACTAGGGTCGGCGTCCTTATCATTTCCTGACCGAGATTTGTGGACATCGTTAATAGCCTGCACCACCAAGTCGATGCGGCAGAGGGCGCTCTTTTCTCTAGTTGGTATTGTCTGATATTGACCTGCGGATCACTACCACAAACAGGAAGTGGTCGATATTCTTTACACGTTGAAGCGTTGTCTACTGAACCGTAAAACCACCAAGACGGAACGATTCGTTTTAGTCAGAACTAATGCTTTCCTAATACCATTTCATCCGTTTCATCGATCAATTTACATCCGCTTCATTATCACTACCAATAGTATCACAGATAAGACAAATACTACACGTCTTTCCTTTTACGTCGTTGGAGGTTATAATTGAAAGTTTATTGCAAATTCTTGCCCTCAGGCTAATTGCAAGTACATGTATTAAACATGAAAATAAAGGATGGACAAAAAAGCAACGGGTATGTGACTACTCTAACTATATATGTAGTATAGTTGGTGTAGGTAATTGGCTTGTAAGATTTGGTGTAACATTCTGAAATGGGCCATGATTTTCTATGTCCAATATTTGGCCACTACTGACTCTAACTACTAAACACTAAATTCTAACTTGTTGGGTTCGACTTCTTTTTTGGAGACAGAGACGTATTATCCCACTTTTTCTATAATGTGTGGGTTTTGTGATGTTAAGAGGAGAGTAGTTTTCTTTTTGTTTGTAAAACGTGGAGAACTTAGGATGGAATTTGTTGGCATCTTCAAACAGGTCATTTCTTTCGTGCTAAAAGATCTAGGTGAGTGATATATCATGTACATTAAATCAAATAACTGGACAAGGTCTATTCCAGGACCAGGCGTTTCAGATAGCATCCGCTGTCTTTCATCATTGAACCGGCAACCCTTCGTTTTGTTCCTAGACTTATTTGTCGGCATGAAAAATTTGCCTCGGATTATACTTAACGACTCCGTTTGATCGGATTATGGTTCTTAATTCTGACGTATTCCTCAGGTCAGGGCAGGGTGTGTTTATAAGCATTAGGCCACAGCAAGTAAATTTTATGGATGACATCTTCCGCAGACGCCAAATTTAATGCGGAAGGGCAAAAAAAAAAACAAGGAGGGCCAAAAGAACACGACCCCTACAGTTTCAAATTTTGACATCATAAACCTTGTTAAACAAGAAATGATACATATATTGTGCTACGTTTACTGCCAACTGTTACAACATCCATTTGTCACTGAAATAACTTGTTTTGATTCAGTGGAACATCACATATGCACAGCCACCATCAAATATAAAAGGAATGAAATGCATCACTACATCAAAGTAAAAGACAAAACAATAAATCAGTCCTGTCATGTCTCCTCTCTTTATAGTTATCTGCCATCCACATGTCGGCATGGCAACAGACATCTTTTCCCATCTTCGGCATGGTGACCACTGTCAGAGGGCAACAAAATTTCTTTTTTTTCCCCAAATCAGGCGAAAATCAATGCGGGCGCTGATGTCATCCATAAACCTTACTTGCTGTGGCCTTACATACAGTCGTGAGGTGGTTTGGGCGCACGGTGGGGCATACAGAAGAGGGAAACCACATCCAGCACTAACGTAATCAATACAGGTCATTTGAGGAAATCTCTACCCAGGGCTGAGCGGTATCAGGCGGGATCTACACCGGCAGTATAGGGGCTGTACATCTTGTCATCATGGAGAAAACACTACTTCTGCACGCCGAAAAGCCGTCTATTGATTACAGCCACTTTATACAAGAGGCAGCGACTGTGGAGAGACCACATCTTTGATAGATTGCTCAACCCACTTCATGGACAAAGAATAGCTCAACGAACGTCATACGTGACAAACTTTGTACGAATTTAAAAACAAACGTTTGTCTGTTTTGTTGTCTTTTGAAACATATTCCGGTTATGAACTCAAGGATCATATTATCATCAATTCAAATTTGGTTGCTTCTAGTAGAAAGGTAGCATTCTAGTAGAAAGGGACTTCAAGATCAACCTCCCGTGCTGTATGCACCATTGCATTCTTGGAACCTTTCCCAATGTTTAGATAACGCCCAAGTTTAATCATCATCAATTGACCTATCACGAGATTGTATACTGTGTTTATTCCGAACGTATCAAGTGAAATGCAAGTAATGTTGCACGTAAACACAAGGAGGTACAAAGTCGCTGTTTCAGCTAGCAGAACAAAATGTCCACTCGCCAAATGTCCACGATACTACAGTACTATGAAGCATGCATGAAGAGAAGGCCTGAAATGAACCCAATCGAGTTAACTCGTCATGAACGTCACGCCAGAGAACACTCCTGTCCGCCCGCCCTGTCACCGTGTAGGGCTGCCCGTGATGGATGACGTTATCCTCGCTCGCGATTGGCTGCCGCGTCAAGCGTTACCATAGCAACTACGTGCAAGCCGTCTGCATTTCGTCCTGAGCACTCCAGACGTTTACTTATCGGCGGCGCATGTCGGCAGGGAACGTTCGTTATCCAACTCTTCTGGATCGAGGAGATAAACCCTTATAAGCTTCATGCATCGTTGATATCCCTAACAGACAACAATGATCTGTCCCCCGCTTTTTAAAGGCCAACAGTGCAAGAGACGTGGCAGCTGGCGACGATATCAAGTGTGGAATATATTACATAAAAGTGGCCACCCGCTGGTCCTGCTGCCCAAACCCATCGCTGATGTGCTGCACAAAACGTACCCAATTCTTCAACTGTTGAATAATGGATAACAGTAACAGACCCCTGATTTTGCTCGACGAAAATTGTAACAAGAACGGATTTTGTTTATATGAAGATGAAACGTTTTTGGACGGAGTACATCATACGTTAGCTAATTTCATATATGGATTTCTCGGTGTAGTCTGTAGGTTCAGGTAGAAGCTGAAAAAGATCAGAAGAAAATATCTACGATATCCTGCAACATTGATTTTAGATGAAACACCGATTGGACACAAGCTATGGACTAATGGAAGACATGAGCGTCTTTCTTTCTGTGCTTCAAAACCAACCATACATACTTATTACTGGAACAGATGAATCGCAGCACGTGATTGGAGGAATTCCCTAACCACAAACCACAAAAGGTCAGACACAGGAAGCTAGGTCCAGGAAGCTACCGGGAGTCTATTGGCCCAGCATCTGTAGTAAACAGAGAAATGCACAAAAATGAATAAAACACGAAATTCATAAAAAAAACTTTCCATATTTCGCGGAGGTATGAAATCTCCTACTTCTTGTCACAGAGGTAAACCACATGAAAAGTAAAGAAATATTATAAAGAAAATAAGAAAATTAAGCTTCTGGCCAATCAGAATGAGCCTGGCAATTGCCTGAAGGTTGGCACTTCCCAAATGTGCTGTTAGTTTTGAACAGTACGGCACTTCTGGGAAAGTGATGGAGTGAATATGTTACTTCAGGGAAAGAATGGTCTCCTATGATAGCATATGATATGTGGTACGTCAGGAACTATCGTAGGCGTAGTCATCCGTATCTAATATTATGGAGACAAACTATTTAAACACTTCAAATGGTATTTGGAGGTTAATAAAAAAAGGCCGCGGGTGTTTCTTTGTTGTTGCTTCTTGGTAAACAATAAGGAAAACATATTGTTTTTGCTCTGTTTCTTCTTCTTCTTCAAAAATGACTAGGACCAGACTGCCTGTCACCATGTCACTGTCACTAGTATTGGGTTACATCATGTTGCAATTTTATAGCAGGAGAGATTTAGACTCCTGCCTGACCATATATGAATGTGTTTGAGTAAGAATTAACAGAGCAGACCATATGCGAAGGTAAACTTTATGCATTTGCTTTGCAAATGTTACCTTTCTAGTATTGTCTTTGACTTTGTAACCACACCAAATAGGACAGGACTATGTTATCATTGTTTGAAACATAAAGTACGTATTCGTTGGTTCAAAATCGTCGTATTTCAGTCTTCAGAAACAGTTCAGCCTGCGTATCTGATGAGTAGTGTGATGTATGACAGTCTGTGCGAATGGCGCGTTTATAATTAGAAGAGCAATGATCGCGAAATGAAGTTTTCACATGTTTATTTGCCACGCCAGTGTGCCTGGTGAGATATCTGGCCCACAGCCCAGCTCAACAATCGATTTTTCCCTCGACTCCCTCACCCTAAACGCGTCTCAGTTTTACAATCCGGGGATACATTTCTTTGGCTGTAGATTAAACCACTTAATTATTGGCCTTTTGTTTCTAGGGCTATCCAACAAAAGGGTGACCGATGACACGTATCAGAAATGGAGGATGCTGTCGACACAAGAAAGTGTTACGTTTCAGAATATGCCATCAAAGTGCTGCTACCAAATGCCCTGGCTAGTATCTTGAGTATGTGCGTACGTAATGTACTTTTCATGTGAGGCAATTTCATGGTATGTTGATATAAGGAGCGCTTATCTACCATGCGTACCCCTACAGTAGGGCGACATCATTTATTGTGAAACAAACATGTCATGTGAAATGTAACGGTCTCTCAATCAATCGTTTTTACACTAATCTCACAGAGTAAAATTGATGATTCTTTCACAGTCGCTGGGATGTATTTGTGCCGTTTTGTATCATATTTATGTTTACCGAAGGAAAGCATATTTTTGCTACGTTTCCTCTTCTTCTCCAAACCAAAAAGGTCAATGAACCAGACTGTCTGTTACCATGGTAACTAGTGTTGGGTTCCATCATGTTGCAATTTTATAGTAGGAGGGATTTATACTCCTGTCTGACCATATATATCGATGTGTTAATAGTTAAGAATTAACAGAGCAGATCATATACGAAGGTAAACATTACGCATTTGCTTTGCAAATGTTACCTTTCTAGTTATTTTACTATTATGTCAAAGATGTTTTCTTTGCCGTGGTGTTTTTTTAGGTCGAGGGCACTGTACGGTAGTGCCAGACCGGCTCTTATCCAAACACATCACGGTCCAGGCGAGCCTCTAGCTATGAATTCTAACGCTCTCCATTGGCCTTGAAAGCCGGAGTCGCCCATTATATCTGCTCCGCTGAATCATCGCCGGAAAGAAAACGTTTTATGCATCAGAAGTAGTCAGAGTGCCTTACTTTTATTGAATTTATAAGGAAGGCACTTCCCGGTTTATCAGATGATATTTTTTTTGAGTGAGGTCCACAGTTTCAAGATATCACCTCAGCTAGAAAAAGAAATCGGACATTTCAAATATAAACCTTCGCGAAGTATCTAGAATTTTTTTGGTGAATTTATTGGTTGGTTTAACGGTTGCTTGTTTTGTATCGCGTAGGCTGGTTCTATTTATTTATGGGTGGTACCCCAAAAATAAAGGAACTCCTTATGCTTGTTTTTTTTACTATTTCAAACGCTGCAAGTTTGAAATGAGACCAAAAATGTGCTAAGAAATGACAGTAAATGTTAGATATCAGACAGATTTCCTCATCCAGAAATACGTTTCTTTTGCCACCCTGAAATTGCAATGAATGCCTTTAAAGTTCAGTATATAAAACCACTCTCTTTAGAAAACCTATAGGTTACTGCCCTGGGTCCATCTCTTTTGGTCTTTCAAACAGGAAAGTCCTATCCGTGGTGACAGGAAGAGGAGACAGAAGGCAATGGTGCTTCATTCAAACTGACGCGATAACGGCGTACTCAAACAAGCACTCATGTCATCACAATGAACGGCGATCCGTTTCGACACATCATGTTTATTTCATGTCCGGCTGATATTTTTTTCACAAGAGGAGGGTTTTTATTTTCGAACAAGTTTCCTACGAATTGTACGAGTTACGGCGAGACAGTGACGGTGAACGGTTGGATTATAATAAAGTGCTCAGTGACAATTTAATTAAAACGTTGCCCGTTGACGCCATAGTTAAGTGGAGGTGTAGATTGCAATGGATGTCGCCATGGATGTCTTATTTATGGGCCAGACCTGAGGCGAATAGAAACGCCATTGACTATGTGCTGCATGTTAAGAGGACCGTGCACTATCAGTAGCCTCTACCAGGCTTCTGGAACGGCGGGAAAGAGTAGTTACTGGCCAAACAGACAAATAACTTGCCAGCGGAATTACGTTTAGCAAATGATGAAACTTTCACGTATATTATACCATCTAAAACTACGCTGTAATTAATTGTGATATAAAACCTTTACTGATTTGTCCACACACGTTTTCAGAAGAGAGAAGAGACTTTGTAGACATAGACAAAATATTGTATAATTTTCCTACTCTTCTACTTAAGTTATCTAACAATGCATTATGTCCATCATCAATTGTTTTTGGTCGTTTTCAACATAGAAGGTCAATGACCAGGGCCAGACGTCGGTCACCATGGTAACTGGTGCTGTAGCAGACACCCTAGCAAGACATTATGTAGCAGAACAGAGTTGGAGGGGCCCCTTACCGTATACCATACATATGAGTAATAACGAGAGTAGTAGTTTGTTTTCCTAGACCAGGTGAAGGTAAATTTGTAAATGTTACATGTTTCTAGTTGTCATTGTGTTCCAACCCTGCTGACCGTGTGTACTTCCCGTGCCGTTCTGTAGGTCCGGCAGATCGACTGGGTGGACACGGCCTGGCCGCCGCACCTCAAGGACAAACAGACGGAGTCCACCAACGCCATAGCGGACATGAAGTACCCGAAGGTTCAGAAGTACGTACAACTGGCCAAGAAACCACATCAACATTGTGTGCAAAGAGGTTGTTTGGGCAAATGTAGCAATGCTTAGTCGACGGACCAGTTTTAAAATACAAGCGTATATAATTTTTTTACTGAGGAAAGGTAAGTGCACATGTCTTTGGCAATGCCTAAGACCAGGACTGTGTGTGTGTTTTAAGCGTTACCTTCTAACGGAGTTACTGCCCATCGTAGTGTAAGGCTACTGCTACTACCACTACCACTGCTACTACTACTACTACTGCTGCTGCTACTGCTACTACTATTACTATTACTACCACTTCTACTGCTTCTTCTATTGCTACTACTACTCCTACTACTAATATTACTACAGCTGCTGCTGCTACGACTACTACTGAACTACTTCTACTACTACCACTACTACTACTACTACTATAACTACACTACTATACAGACTGCAATTTCAATTGAACTTCATATACGTAGTGAAACGTTGTCACGTCAGCCGATTCGGATGAACAGAGTCACAACTAAAGTGAACGTTTCGTCCCTCATACTGACTTACGTTCGTACAATGTCAGGTACAGACAGTACGTCACTTGAACTTTAGGCATCATCAACTTAAGAACATTCATAGTCTGATGATAATCGTAATCACCGTGCCACACTGGTAAAAACACTGCTGAATTATTTATACGGGTTCATCATTAAGATCGGACGGCTTACATATATGTGCTGCGTTGCACAAGGAATAACAATGATGAACCGTTGAGTAGTTAGTGAAAGCAGCCTGTCAAACGTTGTTACGGAATTCTATAGTGTAAAACAACTAACAACTTAAGTTTCCAAAGCTTAAAGAAGGGATTTGAGATGGTCAAAATGGGCGAAGTAGTGGACACAGTCGGACAACAAAACTTGAAGTGATTTGGAAGCAGCGTCGAAGGCGATGATAACGGCGCTTTTTGAAGTATTACCTTTATCTTCGAATGGTCGCAGGGGTTTTGAAAGCTTATTACATGACTGAAGCCCCGCAAATGGGAGTAGTGGCAAAGCTCCACCGTGTTTCTTTGATAAGAACGTTCTGTAAATGGCGTAGACGTCCCTCCAATCTGCCGTCAAGCAGATCCAGGAACTTCCTCCCTTAGGTGCACATTCCTGGAACCGTCTCCATCGGTCACGATCCCAGAACCGTCTACCCTCGGTGCACATTCCCGTAAATGTCTCCGTTCATTTCACGATCCCGGAACCGTGTCCCGTCCGGTGTACCTTCCCGGAGCCGTCTCCCGTCGGTGCACATTCCCGGAAGCGAACAGTCTCCCATTGGTTCACATACCCGGAACGGTCTCCCGTCGGTGCACATTCCCGTAACCGTCTCCCATCAGTTCACGACTCTGGAACCATCTATGTTTTCCTTCGATGCGCGTTTGCAGATTCGTAGTAGTAGTAGTAGTAGTAGTAGTAGTAGTAGTAGTAGTAGTCTAAGTAGTAGTAGTAGTAGTAGTAGTAAAATTTTAGTATTTGTCCGTCACCCATCGATACAGATGTCAAATATTCCATACTAGCAGTTCTTGGAAGGGAATATCGTAACACTTTCTGACAGAAACCGTTTTTTTTTCGGACGCTGGACGCATCACAAAACGTCCACTTTCCATTTCACAAACAGTTAATTTGCCAAATTTACTATCACCTCATCCATCTTAGCTCAGCAGACAGTCACCGTCTGTACATATTGCACAGTCTACTTGTTTACCTCCGGCCAACACAAGCGACCCACTTTCAAAAGAGGTAATAAATTCATGGCGCCAGTTTCCAAGATGGTTCAGTTAAACCGTGACACAGAAGAGCTTTTTAAACCTCGTGGGGTCTGTAATCTTCTGTCTTCCAGCAGATTAGTTCTTTTGCTAATATAGGCTCATTTTGCACATCTTTCGATGGTTCAAGATGACACCTAACAAACAATTTGAAACGGAGGACAAAGAATTTTCGAATATCTTAGAAACCTTAGCAACAAAGAGAAATTTTAATTTTGATGTATGATGATTAAAAAATGACCAGAGTGCCATTTATGTAGTGCTATTTAAGTCATCCTTATGTCATGACTGAGGTATTGAAATCACATGGCAGTACAAAAAGGTTGATATGACATCTCTTGACTGTATATCGTGTCTCTCCTCTCCAGATACTGCCTGATGAGTGTGAAAGGTTGTTACACTGACTTCCATGTGGACTTTGGAGGGACTTCAGTGTGGTACCACATCCTACATGGAGGAAAGGTAGGGGCTAGTCAGAATGTGTTGTACCAACTGTTAGGCCTAGAAAAATGGGTTTCCAATTTCAAAATTTCAAGAATAGGGCAGAAATTTACTTCTGGAAATGCATAAGATAGATTAAAAGTTGTATGGTCTTGCCAGAGGTTGACCCTGCTAAGAAAGGCAGGGGTCAGTTAGTTTTTGCTAGTGTTCGTCAGGAAACTGGAAACGCAACATTTTTTTTCAAGGCCTTACCAAGTTGTGGAGCATGAAAGAAGCAAATTTGCCCTCAGCAATAGTTTAAAGGTTTGCCCCTCACAGCCTGTGTCATGTTGCCTGACAAATGTGCAGCTGAAGTCCTGACCATGGGGTAATACAAACAGGCACTGACCAATGGGCCGTAGGACAGCCTCTGACAGACAGCAAACACAGAATGGTGCAGATGAAACCCAGACTGTCAGTCAGCAGATTTTCAGAAATGTTTCAATGCTGATAATGGTTGATCATTAGAGAGTTATAGGACAATATCTCTGAAGTGATCTGACAATGTAATCATGACATAATGACATTTGTAATCATGACAATAAAAACCCTTGTACAAGAAGGAATCCATTTGGGTCATTTGTTGACGTTGAATCTAATAGTTCAGGGTTCGAATCCCAAGTAAGCCCCAATATTGTGCCCTTGAAAAAGGTACTTCACACCTATTTCCTCACTAAAAAGGGTCTTCCTCTCAGATGACACGTAAAGCTGGTCCTGTTTTCCAACTGGTGTGTTATACTTGTATGGTTGTGTGGCGTAGTGGCAGAGTGTTTGGCTCGGAACCAAGAGGTCCCGGGTTCGAACCCTGCGATGTCACCGATCTTATGCTATTGGGAAAGGCACTTAACACAACTTTCCTGGATGGAAGCCTGGCGAACCCCATCTCGTATTAGCCACAAAAAGGCAGCAGAATCTTCCTGAGGTAGTTGAAGGCGGCTGCCTCAAAATGAAAGAAAAAAAAAGAAGAACATAGAATTTCCCACTGAATTTGGAATTAAAGAAAATACTAACTCAACACGATGGAATGTATATACATGTAGTAGACAAAATGTTTGTGTTGTTGTAGGTGTTTTGGCTGATCCCCCCCACCCCTGAGAACCTGGAGCTGTATGAGAAGTGGGTTCTGTCAGGGAAACAGGGAGATCTGTTCTTCGGGGACATGGTGAAGAAATGTGCCAGGGTCAGACTGGAGGAGGGCTACACCTTCTTCATACCAACAGGTGAGGGGTTGTCATCTTTTATAGTATCTGTCATATCAACTTTACAATCTCTTGTACTAAGTTGTAGAACAAGAAATTGGAGATTTTAGACTTCTGGGAAATGCTTTGGGTTTTCGTGAATGTATTGGAACTGTGGAAGAGATTGTATGATGTGATTCAATCCAGTATATTACTCCACTTCTTGAATTTTCCATATACAGGCACCTTCAGGCTTAGCCTCCCTATCAATCAACTGTCAAAATCACCTCCCACCCTCCATGCAACCGTCACTACTTTAACACACAAACTAACCCAAGTCAACCACCCAAAATCGTACTTCCATACCCAGAAGTAATATTGGTGACATGCATCTTGATCAAAGTCTTAGACCTGTGATGTATTAGAATGTCTAAACAATGAACTGAAACTGAGTCTAATGTTTGTGAATTATTTCCCATGTCTAGGCTGGATCCATGCTGTGTACACCCCCAAGGACTCCCTGGTGTTTGGAGGAAACTTTCTCCACAGTTTCAGCATCCCTGCACAGTTCAGCGTCTGGGACATCGAGGACAGAACACATGTAAGTTCCATCCATTGGGCTGTAGTAGCTGCAGCAGTGGCATCCTATGTTGCAGTACTGATATTTACCACTAGGGGTCCTCATTACGTGGTGGCAGGATCATAAGCATGTGAAGAGGGGAACAGTTTGTTACCATACCTGTCCCACAATTCCTTAGTTGACAACATGGAGGCAGACATTCCCTGGCATAGGTGGGTGGTCCTGTCAAGTATGTCCAAATATGTACAACTGTAGCTTCTTCCAACAATCTAGGTAGTGTTTGGGACTGCAGAAATTCATCTGTCTTTGACTATCTTTCTGGTCTTCAAATGATGACCCTATGACTTGATTATGCATTTCTTACATGTATATTTAAGATGTTGCCATCAGTTGGTTTTCTGTTTGTTTTGGTTTCACTTTGACAATGTTAATATGCAGCCAAAGATCAACACATTTATATAAGAAGTGGTATTGTTACATACAGGTGTTCATAAAATTAATGTTATTTGTGTGTAAACAGAAAGAAATGTCTGAAGTTCTGTCAACCGCATACCTACTGGCCTGTACATAATGAATATTCAGCAAGTTCATTGCAGTGAGAGATGCTCTTTAGAATGTGCCATTTCATGCTCCATTGAGCAATGTTCAATGATAATTACTATCCCCAGGCAATAACAGGTGAAAAATACTATAAATGCATTTTCAGTGGTTTTATTTCATGGTATGAGAGAAATGTAGTTTTCACAGTGTTTGAAGTTCACGGTTGTTCTGTAGCACAATAGAAGTACAAATCGCATTGTCATGATTTCTCATGTGAAAACCATGAAAATAAAACCACTGCAAAAGTAAATGCGTTAATTTTACAGTACCACATTGCAAATTATGTGAAAACACACTCCAAATCATACAAATATGGAAGAATTTGTACATACATGTACACATCTAGATATTTTACACTAGAAAGTCTTTACTGTGTTGCCATTCTGGTTCTGTTGGTGACCTATATTGTACATGCCTTAGTCCTTTGTTATGTAGACAAAGGTTAGGAGTCTGTGATGTCATAGCAGGTCATGTGGGGTTATGGGAACACACCCAGCTGTACTGTGTCATTAGATAGGGAGAGGAAAACTATAGTTAGACTTGTTTTCTTTGAGAAGAATGTAATAACGGAACGTACAAATGTTGATGTAGTTTTAAAGGACCTGTTCTAGACAGGTGTGTTGTCATGATCAGTCTGTCCAAAAAATAGTACATTCTGAATTCTATATTTGTGCTTGCACTAGAAAAAAAGCCATACATCCTGAAAGGTCTAAAAAAGGTCAACACATTTGCAGGAACTGTTGTGCACATGAAATGCTTACAATACACTAGGTACAGCTGTATGACCTCATATATACGGGGCATTGTAGTATGTATCCCTCTACCTACATAAATTACTAAAATACAGTGCAAGTATTTTCTTTGAAAATATTGCCAAAACATTCCTCTTTTCCTAAGATACATGAATATGTTTCTTCAAAGGATGCAGATCTAACCTGACAAGTAAGTTTGGTAACTGTTGAAAGTTTTGATTGACATGTTACCATTTCTCCACCCTTCCCAGGTGCCCATGAAGTTCCGGTACCCGTTCTATGAAGAGATCCACTGGTACCTGCTGGACCAGTACCTCAACTGTCTCACAGGTAGGACATAACCCAGCATTGATGTTTTTCTGAAATTTCACCTGATGCACTTTTATGATTTCTGTTGTTTCAAGCTCAATCAAATTTCGGACAATCACGGCTTGGCCAGATGAATGGTGAAAAGTGTGGCTGTGCTTGAATCTTGTTTTTTATGTATGATACAGGCAGTGGCTTTTGTGTTTGTTCCAGTGTTAAACCTTTGGACAGATACCTTTGTAACTCTAGTCTGTTCCATACATTGTTTACAGCTAGGAAGGTCTGTTTAGCTGTGTCTATCCGTTTAATATAAGTGACTGTACGTAAGCTGAAGAGATTATGATATGTCCTTTTACTTTTTTTCCAGGTAAGTCATATTTGAACAAGGAGATTCTGGACAGAGACGACGAAGACCCACAGGAAGCCACACAGCTCAAGGTCATCTCTGAGAGCAAGGTCACAGAAAACGTCCGAGTCTGCGCAAAGGAGGGAAGAACCACACCAGTGAAGAAGGAACAGGAAGACTTAGAGGACACTCTCGGTACCAGGAAACAGCAAAACGGACACCATGTGAACGGGGACAAAGGTGAAGAGTCAAAGGTCAATGGTGGGCCAAGGGTCGGCACAAGAACGCGAAGGTCACGAGTAAGAGGGATGGAGGACGAGGAGGAGGACAGCAAATCTAAGGACTCCCTCCCGGAGGAGAGATCCCAGTCACCAAAACCAGCCAAGTTTGAAAAGAAGTCTCTCAGCCAATCAGGAAAAGACAATCAAGTGGAGAATGAGGTGGAGCAGAAAGAACCGGAGAACGGTAAAACAGAGCATGCTGGGAGTGAGAAGGCGGCGGGTTCGGGGGAGGAGCGGCCGTACGTCCACCTGACTAAGTACGAGCTGCAGGGCCTGGAGTATCTGGTGGACAGGCTGGAGAAACAACCTGCCAACAAGAGGAACGTCCCTGACGCACTGACGGATCCCGACGGTCTGCTGAAGGATGTCAAGGTTAGCATGACCTTCAACAGTCACAAATCACGAGTAAAACCTGTCTATCAAGTCCCTTAAATGGTCACAGTAGACAGTCGGCTACTATAGACAGTTAATGCTTGGATTGATACGAAAAATAAGTTAAAGGGCCACAAAATAAAAAAGTAGCTGAAATGTCCAGGTGGTCTTTATGTACAGGTGGTCATTGTTTTGGTAGATGAGTACAATCCAATCTTTGCAAAATGTTTCTTAGTGATATATTTATAGAAAAATGTTACCTGGTAGCTCTACCAACACCCATGAACAAGTAATTGCAACTGCATCCAGTATGCATGTTCACCATTCTAATGAGACAAGGCATTTTTTATGGTACATGTAATAAAAGTGGTGTTTTTTTTATGACTTCAGACATTGTTGGAGGAACACAAGCCGGACAAGGAAGAGGAGTCCATCACAGGGAAACCTTCTATCTACTGGCCTCAGTCGGAGAACAGAATTAAGGTAGACACACACCTGGGCATTCGTACCTTGTTGTACACCTGTAAAGTAAAACAATAGTGTAGATGCATTACATAAAACAACACAGTATCCTACCTACTTTGTGTTAATAAAAGTACCGGTGCTAATATTTACATGTCTGGATATCTTGACAGCCCATATCACCATGTATTATGTATATTTGTCAAAGACAAATTGCAGTTTGTCTATTTTTAGTACCAGTACAACCTGAAATTCTACATCCTGTTTGTCGTTTACAGTCAAGTTTTAGTATAATCAAATGTAACATTCCCCCGTGTATAAACCCATGCATATTTGTGCATACCTGAGGGTTTCATTTAGAAATATTTTAACCTTCTCCCTGCTGCTTAACCCTGTAACCAACAAAGAATTGGTAGATAAATGACTTCTTCAGGGTAAAAAAGGTTAAACAGTCTCTTTTTGAAAGTGGCGGATATGTTGGTGTAACCTGGCAGATAAGTGTTAATGGAGGTTAAACCTCTGTGCCTCTAGCCTGTGAAGAAGAAGACCTATGGTGCCTCCGGCAGCGCCAGCAAACCCAAGATGAAGTCGGCGACGGGAAACATCAGCCGGCGGCGGACGCGGTGTCGTCAGTGCGAGGCGTGCACGCGGGGAGACTGCGGGGAGTGCCACTTCTGCAAGGACATGAAGAAATATGGCGGCCCGGGACGCATGAAACAGAGCTGTATCAGGAGAAAGTGTCTGAGGGTAGGGATGATTACACTGTGTGGCTATGTAGCAGTGATTTGCTCTAATTAATTTGAGAGATTATAATCCACGATAAAACAGATAGTGAGTGAGTGAGTACAAAGATCATAGAAAGATAGGAAACAGTATGGACGGAACAGAATTATTGTTTTGGGTGGCTGAGCTGTGAGGTTTTATGTAAGTTTGTCCAGACAGAGTAGGTTGACAGTATGTGGGTTGGGTAAAGATTGACAGGCAGAATGACAGCAAAGATCTCAGTATCTGGATGGGAGCCAGCAGGAAAAGTTGTCATGGGGGAATTCAGGAAGCTAAGAATCGCATACGTCCCCAAAGTCTGATAAGGTCACCACTTTCTTTTTGAATTGGTTCTGACTGAAGCAGACAGTATGTAACAATTCTTTCCTTCCCTTCCCCAGCCTGCTCTACCAAACAACGCGTCCTGTAAGGTGTGCGGTACGGACGATCGTGATGATGACAGCGACACGAGTCTGATGGAGTGTGTGATCTGTGGGGAGATTGTCCACCCTGACTGTCTGCAGTGTGAGGGGGAGGGGGTCGTCAACGAGGACCTGCCTAACAGCTGGGAGTGTCCAAAGTGTAGTCTGGAGGGGAAAACTGAAAAGGTGACACTACAGACTTTTGAAAAAACTTTGCCATAATAAATGATATTAATTATTTTTTTCTTTTGATGCCCACGATCATGATAATGATCATTCTGGCATACTCATTAACACCTGAGCAAAATGAAGAAAGTCGTGTAAAGTGCGTTTGTAAGGGCACAAGGTTGGTGATATGGCAGGATTCGAACCTAGGACCTCTTGGTTCTGAGTTGAGTGCTCTGCCGTTATGCCACATAACTCATGATTTCAAGTGAATAGAACGAACTCTCAAGTAATCAAAGATCAACCCATATTTTTGGAAGGCTTTTATTGAAGATTTATGAATTTTTGCATTGGCAGTGATCTCATGGGCTGGTGATGTTTTTGGTTTCAGATGATGTGCAGGGTGATGAAGAGACCCCATGCAGCTGAAGGCAGAACTGCAGACGGCGACAGTCCAACTGGCAAAAAGAGAAAGGTAGATCTTATTATTCTCTTCTCATGATTCTTTTACAATACATCCATTTTATCAAACTGGAAGGTGAAATGTGATTATTTACGGAAAAAAAATTTTCCCATTGCTTCAATCATATTTTCATAGCTGCATATTTTTACAATACAAAATGTTTTAGATTGACCAGTAATTGTGTGTGATGTTTCAATGTTGGAACTAATAATAGCTAATCATGCTGCAATGATGAATGATTTCAGGAATCAAGTACAAGTAGCGAAGTGTCCGATGACTCACCAAAGAAGGTAAACAGGGTTGTAACAAGTTGTGATTTCTATTGTCTGGCTAACTTGAAGAGTTTTGATCTATTTACAAATACTAATTGGCCGAAATGCTGCATCAGAATGTAAATCCAATCTTCCTTTGATTTATCTGCTGTAGCTGAAGGATTGTTAGAGTTTTAAGTCAGTAACAAACCGTTGCTTTTTTTCATTGAAGGGAAGTACAGCTGAGGAAAGCAAGCACCCAGGGAAGAGAGCGAGGAGCAACGAATCACTGGTTAGTCTTCTGACACGTTGTACAAAAAACTGGTCTGTTTAACCTTCTCCCTGCTACCTAACCCCATATCCAGTACAGATTTAGAGCCAAACAGTTACTGTAGCAGGCTGAAGGTTAAAGGATATAGATTATAGAGAGATGTAGTTAGTAACTTCTCAACTACCCCGGTACTAATCTTTCTTTTTAAATTTTCACAAATGCACATAACTTATCACTTCATTTGATTAGATATGTACTAAGTCCTTGTTTTACTTATCACTTCATTTGATTAGATATGTACTAAGTCCTTGTTTTACTCTGCCTGGTTTAAGTTTTCATTGGTTTAATGTTGGATTGTTTACAGCGATCAGAAAACAACAGAAGTCTGAAGAAGAAGCGACATCATTCCGAGTCCCCCCGACCTGGCACAAGTGACCTTGACAAGGACAAACATGGCGGCAAGAAGGCCTTCGGGAAGAAACTGTCGGGAGCGGTAAACGGACACAGCCAGCCAATCACGCTGGTCAAACGGGGCCCACCCAACCTGCGCCGCAGCCCCCGCGGACGGAAAGCACGGCCCCCGTCTCCAGCCAGACCGCTGAAGTTAGAACAGCGAGTGATCCGTCCGCGACCCATCAGTCCGCCAAACGACAGCATGAAGTTGAACGATGGGACAAACCATCCACTGCCACGGAAACTGTGGATGCTGATTTTCCAGAACCTGGCCAACAAGGAACTGTGCAGGTTAGAATCGCGTTGCAAGACTCAGATTCATAGGTGTCTCCCAGCAAATTGTAGCTGTACCATAATCTTATGAAAAACACAGAAAACCTAAAAAAAATTTTCAATCCTGTTGACATGTCCTGTTTTTCAGTATTCTTGATCAAAATACAAAGAATGATATTGCCAATGTGATAACCAAAATCATTCCAGGGCCTGGAAATACTGCGAATTATGTGGAATAATATTTTTACTCAAACCACTGAAAATCAAATTCATAGCCCTCGAAACATGACAAACATCACTGCCAACTCAAGGCAGTTTTTGCAAATTTAACCTTTTGTTACAGAAGATACCAGTCTTATTAGCTCTGTGTTACACAAAAAAAAGAATCATCAGTTACTAGGTAGAAATTCAAATCCAAATACTTGTTGTGATTGGTTGTTCCTCTGTGACAGTTGCATGGCCGTGTGCAAGACGTGGAACCGCTGGTGTACGTATCACCGCCTGAACCAGCCGTCCGACCGTTCCCCCCAGTACGACACTTTGATTCAGATCAGCAAAACTTTCTCATAAGCTTAGAGTTCTGCCTTGCTGGGTTGTACAGTTGTACTGACTGTGTGTTGACTGGCTATACAGTGTACAGAACAAGGGGTTGTACAGTTGCAGTTTGAATTGGAGTTTCTTCTTTACAACTTATATCCCATTATGTTCATTGTGCAACCTGTTTAGCAAACCTGTCCTTGGTTGCTGTTTCTTGTGTGTAGTTTGCACAGATTATGCGCAACCAATGTTGAACACCAATGTTGAACACTGTGTAGCTTGTTTAAACATTATCTTTTGCATCACTCTCTTACCAATAGTTCAGAGTTCTTTAGCAGCAGCAGATTGTTTCCTTGTGCTTTGTTCTTTCAGTGCTTTCTCACCAACTTCTGATATCCTTTTTTTAGCTACGGTGGCTTGCTGTTTATGCAGTCTATTTTTTCATTGGCACAATGTTATAATCCACACATTTTTGTGGTCATATACATGTACATGTTGTAGTTAACTGCACATGGCAAATGTTTGGTTTTCTCATTTATATACATTTTATTCATAGTTTTCTCTTTGAGTCAGATTCCGATATCGATATGTACTAGAGAGTGATGACTATGCCTAACCCCAATACCAATACAAACTTGGTGACAAATGGCTAATTTAGGTCTTGAGTCATAAGGCAAACATAATTTTTGACCATTTCAACAGATGACCAATGCTGTTCTTTTTTACATCTGTAGGTGCCTGGCCACATGTAAGACCTGGAACCGTTGGGGGAATGACCATCGTCTGTGGAAGGTCATTGACCTGAGCTACGCCCGGACGCTCAACCCCAGCGTGCTGGAGGGTGTGGTGCGGCGCCAGCCCATGACCCTTGACCTGAGCTGGACCAACGTGCCCAGAAGACACCTGAGTTGGCTGATTCAGAGGTCAGTAGGGAAAAATGATGGTTGAAAAATTGTTACAAGATCCTTCCCGGGACGTATTTTGGGTTTTTGTGGCTTCCAAGTTTATCCCATTTCCTGTGTCTGCCCTTTTGACCTGTCATTCTGTCAAACCCTTTCCCACATGCTGTCAACCTACTCTGTCTGGACAGACACACAAACCAACATCTTAGCCTCCCAAAACAATACTTCCATACATGTACTTGGAGCTAATTAAGCTATACATGTAGTTGTAACAAGGGTTGATCTGAGCCCCTCTATCAAGTAATTTTGAGCCAACAGGTGTTTCGTAAAGTTTTTAAACAGTAACATCTTTCCAGTCACAAGTAAGGTAACAGTCTCACTAGCCTGGGATTCATGTTATCAAATGAATAAATAAATAAATACTATGTTTATTGCCCTTCCAGGCTGCCCACCCTGAAGCACCTGGTGCTGTCGGGCTGTGCGTGGTCGGGAGTGTCAGCCCTGTGCACCTCCACCTGTCCCCTGCTGCGCTCACTCAACCTGTGCTGGGCCGAGGGCATCAAAGACTCCACCATGAAGGACCTGCTGTCCCCACCTGCTGACCGACCGGGGGCTCCTGATAACAGGTGTGGTTGGGAATAATGTGCATTCTTTATGTGATAGATTTACAGCAGAAATTCCTTTTAAGGGGAACATATGTGAGCCTCTCAAACTTTGAACAGAGACAGGAAACTGCTTCTGGAGTCTTGTGTCTATGAGGTCACCCGTTCACGTGGGCCATTCTGGAACAGCCACAGTGACATTGTCACTGTCCCTAAGGCCAGGACAAAACAGCTAAAAAATAAAAATAATTCTGTATGTGTAACTACATGTATGTAGATTTTTGTGCCAATCTTTGTTTGAAAAAAACGTAGTACACAAACTACACTTAATTCAGGTTAGGTGTTTAATAAATAATCAGTCTGAAAGCCTGTGGGTGTTTTATCAAAAATATAGTTCAAGATTGGACAATTAAAACTAGATAGTCTAATTAATGGACATACATTGGTTTGATGTTTGTCCTGTACCTAATGTTTTTCATACTATTGTTGTTGCCCGTACCCAGGAGCCGTTTGCGGATGATGACTGACCTGCGGTTGGCCGGCTGTGACGTGGCAGAGGGAACCATCCAGCTGCTGGTCAAACACATGCCTCACCTCAGTCACCTGGACCTCAGCTACTGTACCAAGGTAACCCTCTCTAACACACAGTCAGGGCAGGGGTGGACACTTAGCATGAAGAAGGTTAAAGTTACACCAGCAATGTCTAAAAGGTCTCAGTAGCTTTTGAAATAACTATAAAATTTCTGTTTATTTCCGTACAAGATGTTTGGGCCATATCAACTGTGTGAAATGATTAATGCCTTAGTAGTACCTAATACATTTGTATGTGTAACGTTACTAGTAGTTTTGCAAACAGCAAAGAAGTAACTGTTACAGCTGGCTAAAACACAGAAATATTCCAAGGAAAAGCTCTGTTATTTTGACATTACTGTTGTACCTGACACTGACACATACAATCATATAACCCATGCTTTTCACTTAAATTGCTTTATACAGTCGAACCTGTACTAGTGGTCACCTTTTAGTGGTCACCTGACCATAGCGGTCAAATTTGGCCAGTCCCTTGAGTGACCACTATAGACAGGTGTACTTTTATAGTATCATTTGGTCTTGGTTCAAGGAAATTTCTACAAAGTCTGACTGGAGAAGAAACTTTCCTTTTAAAAAATCTGACTGAAAGTTGATCTGTTGTTACCCCCCAGATAAGTGACAGTTGTATGGAACTGCTGACTGCAGAGGGGTCGCCCATCCGAGAGTCCCTGACAGACATCAACTTGACGGGCTGCCGGAAGCTGACAGACGACAGCCTGAAACTGCTGAGTCACTGTCCTAACGTCCTGAAGGTCGACGTGCGATCCTGCGCCCAGGTCACCCCGGAGGCATGCCAGCAGTTTGCCTGCGGCAGGGATGAGCCAATGGCTATCAAGGAGGACAAGCTGATCATGCTGGCACCCTGAAGGGTGAGGGTTGGACTGCAATCCTGCAGTAGTTGGTCTGGGAGCTAGGATCATTTTAGTGATGCCCGTTTTTGATATGTTCCATGATTATTTTGTCTAATTATGGTGGTTGTATACCGATGTTATTTGTACGCAAAGAGTTGACTGTTTATTAAAGCCCGTTGAACACAGTATTTCCAGTTCGTCACAAGTTGGGTTTCTAGAAAAGTTTTCCACTGCATCTCCCTCCTTGAAAAAAAGTCCAAAGATTTTGCCATCAGCAATACAACACATGACAAACTCTTCAACATTTATCTCAAAAAGGCTCTGTCAACTACCACTAAGTATTAGTGATTGCAAGTCATTTTTTCTGTCACTGACAGTTTTGACATTTTGATGATCATCTCATCAACTTTTTTTTATAACTTATGTATTCTAAGACATTGTACGTTACAGAGAATACTACAGGAATTTGAAACAGTTCCAAATATTCAAAGACATTATCAACACACCACCCATTCAGTGATCCACCCTGTCTGGAAAATCTGTGAGTTACGATAAAGTACCAAGGTGACTCTGTACAAATCATCAATGCCATTGTACAATCCCTGAAGATGTAAGAGTGTACATCCATGGCTGTGGTAGCCATGATACATATCATGCCCTAACTGCACTCATCTTCAAAGGGAAGATCTCTCAACATTCACTATACAGCAAAACATGTCTATTTCAGTGGATGCAGATAGATGACATAGAGATATGGATCTTAGTGGCATCAATGTGTATGACATACAGATATTCCAGGACTGTTACAACACTGAAAATAGCACATCATTGCAGTATTGAAGATTCAGACTTCCAAAGGTGCTTACCTGTGAAAAGGTGCTTCATTTTGTATCATAGGTTACTGTTGATGTTGTTGACGTTGTACATCAACACAATAAGCGTTAATGATAAGGGATGTACAAAAAGATGTTCTTTGTCGTTTAGACATTTTTGCTTGGGTTTAGTGTTTTGATAGATTGATTGGATGGTAGATTGGTGTAGTTGCCTTGTTTTGTTGTGATCTACCCTTTATACACAGGATTTGAATAGAACTACCCACCTGTTGGACTAGCTCCACACTTCTTCAGTTATGGTTCTCAGAATTTAAAGAATTGTACACTTTGTGATGACTCTGAGTAACTTTGTAGCATGATCAGACACACATGGGACTGTACAGGTATATCTTCCCCCAACAAGTCATGTCAGGAGCATCTCTGAAATAAGGTTCATTTTGAGAAATGATGTTTTTGATTTATTATACCTGTGATAGTCGCCGATGCGAAAAGCGGAAGATTTAGAACTTTAAGCTGTAGATATCACTTCATGAGTTTTATCTGATCAAATGTCCTTATTTCCGTTACTACCTGTTTATACCAATGTTATACATGTAAAGTTTCTGTTTGCCTGTCGTACACATTACAGAGTTTGTCTCCAAATGTAGTGTTTGATATGTATCTTGTACAAAGGTGTGCCATGATTGTAAGGAAATGGCGAAGGCACACATGCCAGTTCTTGTCTGTATGTTTTTTCCAAAGAACTGAATGTTTTGTACAGAGTTTGTCTGTTTATTGCTGTGCCAGGTTGTGAACTGTAGCTGGCTGTAGAGTACCTTATGAGGATGATGTAAGTTAGCTTAGCTACAGTCGTTTTGGACACAGAAGTTCCAGTAACACATGTGTTAACAGTTCAAACACTCCAGCACAAAATACAGTATAACAGGTTTCAGTTTTCACACCAAAGGGAGGAAAAAAACAACCCTTGTGTGTTCTATGAATGCACAGTACCCCCCTCCCCCATTTGTGACATTAGGATACATTTCTATATCTAGGAGAAACACATGTACATCAGTTTCGAAAGACTGTAAAGAGATGTTGAGTTCCTGCAGTGTTCTGTGTGCTGGTGTAAAAGATGCTGTGGTGAACAGTAGACTATTTCCTACTTTGTGAAACATTTTCCAACATCCAGGTAAATCCAAGAAGCATTTGTCTGTGAGAACAGTAACGTTAAATCTTGTTGATGTATAAAAGCAGAAACATGTTTTTTTCATGGTTGCTGAAGTGATGACTGTGATGGTAAAAGATTGTGGTCTTCACAAATGTCTTTCAAGAAAAGTGTAGGCTAGATGATACTTCCTATATGGACATCATAAGACCACAGATCATTCTATGGTTCAAATGTCGACAGTTCTTATGATGATGTCTTGTAAGCCATGTACAGGTAGTTGTTTCTACAGATAAGACTTTCAAAGGTTGGTTACGCTTGTACTTATGATTGAGCTTCTGTGTTAGTTGTCTTGTGACATGCTTGAGCACATTGCAGCTGCAGTTAGCCAAGCAAACGTACAGTGGCGCTGTGACATGGCTGAAAGTTGAGAGTGAACATTTTTGAAAGACCAGATACAGTGTTAAGAGGGTAACTAGACCCAGCATGGCTTAAAATTGCAACATTCTGAAGGAGCCAGCTTAGCTAGTCTCAAGAATGGTTGGAGAGATTATTATGAAGAAATAAGGAAGAGCCATGTGTGGTCACAAGACATCTAACACAGAATCTGTCACTAGTTATCATCACCAGGCTGTAACTGTTACGGTTGTTCTTATGCATGAACATTGTTCCAACACCGTCTGACTTTGTGTTTCACACTCCTAACAACACTAGGAGAAGGTGGTAGTGGTTACGTTGATTCTGAATGGCAATCATTCTCTTTTTTAAAACTTGACTTTGAACTTTTTACTGCCGATCACTTCTGATTCTTGTTTATCGATATACCTCAATCGTCACTTATTTATTATTCTCATCTGAACGGTGTTGAATTTTGAGTGTTGTTCCTTTCTATTATAAATAAAGGAAGTGACTTTACGACTGTTCTTTCAAATGGTGTTGTGTATTCTTTGCACTTTGATAGCATTGTTTGCCACTCATTTTCTCTATATGTTAGAAGACAGATTTTGAGATCTATGACAATGCCACAATAATGTTGGCAAAACAATCTTAAATACTTCTTTCAATCCGTCTTATTCTTACTGTAAAACAGGCGTTCCAACTCGAAGATGAGTTGAACGCTGCAGTACATTGAGAAGAGTAGACCAAGTGTTCCCAACGGGAAGTTGGACTTCAGGAGTTTGTGGAAGTAGACCGAGCCGGCCTGTCTGCCTCCCACGAAAACCAAGTTATTGATGATCAAGAGGGTAGCAACCGGCGCAAATATGGCGGCCTTCAACCTTCGCTGATTCCTGAGGGAACACGTGTTCAGGTGCAGCTTTGCGGTGTCGGTTTTGAGAAGTGCCGACCCGACGGATTCTGCCAGGATGCCCAGCCAGTTGAAGACGCTCCACATGATGATATTGTCATGTCCGCCATGCCAGAAACAGACGAAAGTGAAGCAGGCAGCACTTCCTATCAGCTGCCATAGCAGTCCCTTACGAGATCCTCCCATTGGAATATACACATACCTGCAGATAGAAAAAAGCATTGATCTATAAAGTGATTTTCCTGCACCTTGTCAACAGTTTGAAAAGTTTGTTTGTTTTCCTCAACATTCAAGCATCTGTTTTTATCTGCCATTTCACTGCTACAAACTCATTTGCAATAGGGTAATGTTTTACTTTTAAATGGAGGTTTTGTTCTTGGTCACCAAGAATGTATGAAACATAAATCATGGTCTAATAGTGGATTAAGTTTCATCATACAGTAGTATCACACAGTAGTATAATAGTGATTTCAACACTTAGTACCTCAAACTGCTGCTTGTATTACTGCAATGATTATTTTTGCCGCTGTGGGGCGTTTTTGATCTATGGCAACTTCAACACCAAGTGCCTCGAACTGCTTCTCCTATTACTGCAATGATTATTTTTTTAATGCTCGGTTTCAAACCAAAGAATAGGTGTCAGATAGATATAGATTTTTCACTTAAACGATTTTGACCCCGTGTGTCATGTTATCATCCATTCTACAATGTAATTCATTTAACTTATAGCAGTTTGGTCTCTCTTTTTTTGCCTCAGTACATTCTCGGTAATAGGATTCAATTGACATCTTACCTGACGAGAAAGATGTTCAAGCCGCTGTCGAAGTACTTCCACGTCGTTCTGAAGCTGTAACACGTGCTGACACACCGGGGAAGGCGCGGGGTTTCCACTCCATCCAACATCGCCAGCGCGGACGTCAGTCCGTAAAAGATGACGTACTTCACGTGAAGAAAATGTCCCTGTAGATAGCCAATCCCAGCGACAACTACAGGCGGTAAACTTTCAAAGAGAGGAGCGTTGTGTTCCAAGGCACAGAAGTAGAGGAAGTGACAGGCCAGTTCAGTGATGACTGCCCAAACCGTAACTCTACAGATGTACCAACAAGCGCGCCGTGGTCTTGCCCTGTCCACAACTGGAGTGTTGAAGTGTTCCTGGAAAGTATCGTACGTTACCACAGGTCCTAGGAACGCCAAAGGGATGTAAAAGTTGTAGACAAACAGATCCATGACGCTGCAGACTTTCTTGTCCTTCCTCCGACAAACCTCTAAGCTGAAGCTGAGCAGACGGAGAACTGAGATAGCGGTGATGCTGAGGACCAGGTAGTAGGTGGATTCCGAACCGGCTAGTCGGTACTGGAGAACTCTGAAGAGACTGGAGTTGAGGGTCGCCACAAGGAACGTTCCTAGACCCCAGCACAACAATTTGGACCTCAAAACCGCCGCTGCATAAAATAGTAGACTGTGCAACGTCAAGAGCGCTAAGGGCTTGAAGCCAATCACGCAATGTAGAGCTAACAGACTGTACGCGAGGAAACACTCTCTTTTAAACTTGGACAGAAATCTTCGCACCATGATGCTAACGATAACGTGTCCTAAGAAACAGGTAAAGAGTCCATTCTTGAACCACGTCTTCCAGAAGGTCCATTCAAAGTCCGTGGTATCCATCCTCCTTCCAAGAAAGGCGGACGCGTTCTGTTTACCTCCGAGAAGTTCGATTTCATTTTCCCGAGACGCCACGTAGACACTGTAGATGCTGTACGCAGCGGGACAGCAGAATCCGACGGCGTACAGCATCATCTCTGCCGCCGGTAGACTAGAGCTACCCGCGCCTCCAAAGCTACCCGCACCGCCGGAGCTCTTATGATTTGCTGCCCTGGTTGGTGACATGGTACTGGCTCTTGTGGTTTGCTGTCGCTGAGATGTTACTTACTCCTACGCTTGCCTAGATACCGTGTTTTATATCGTTGCATACGGTAGATTTCGTCTTTTGCGTAGCACTCGTCCCATAGACCATTACTTCCCTGGCACGTTGTCTGCCTTTAGTGATCTTTAGTGTAACTACGTCAGGAACCTATACACATAACTACGGTACCCGTGACAAATTTAGATATTTTTACTGATCAATAATGTATGTGGATTTACATGGGACAAGATTAGAGCGTGATAGATGGAGGGTCAAATCAAGTTATCAATTTTAGGAAACGAACGACGGTCCCACTTCCGTCAGAAATCGTGGTTGATCCCTGTCAGTAATCCCTGGCGAGATGCGCACATGGGCTCACTTTATGGCTCAGCTATACGTAATTAGCTTCGTGTCATATACTAGTACATGCAAAGCCTGGCTGAATGATCTCTGGATTGTTTCAGATATGTCCCAGTACCTCGAGGTACAGAGTCGTTGCACAAGTAACACTAACGTTCGCTTTCAAAAGTTTGGGTGAAACTTTTGTACGCAATAATCACACAGGAACATTTGACAATGTTAGTGTGTTCTTGACTGATGGATATTCGCGTGATTCAATCAATTCAAAGTAGGAAATCTTGTCCCAAACACAGTCCCAAATCAAGCCACATTCTGCCATCACCGTGAGACAAAACGATGGTATCAGCGCAGAGGGACTAAACTGTAAGCTGAGATGTTCGGTCACCCCGTGACGGCCGTGATCTATGTCTAATTGATGGTCCTGGGAGACACATCTCGATACAGTCTCTTATCTCAGGTCAATAAATCAGGCGAACAAGAGGGCCGTTTCGACAGGACATCTGTTCAGCCGTCCAGGAAGCTAAGCCCGCATCGTGAGTTATGATGACAGCACGAAAACGGTTGTCTCTGTTCACATCACGCGATGCGGGTGGTACAGTGCGCTAGTGGAGCTGCCTGGGCACAACAGCGGTGACGAACTCTGAAGTTACATGTACAGCAATGCTGGAACTAGAAAAGAAAGTTCCTGTCAGAAAACGTACGATAGGTTGACAGCAAAAAAAAAGAAATCGGTGTCAGAAAACGTACGATAGATTATAAACAAAACAACAAAAAAAAGAGAGAGAGAGAGAGAGAGAGAGAGAAAGTTCCTGTCAAAAAAACATGCGATACGTTGACAGCAATCGCGTTTTAACCGATGAGTACATTTTCTGGGCCTTATGGGACCTTATGGATGGCCTGCTACAAGTATTATATAACATGCAGGTGGGCTCATATTTTACAGGAGAGGGAGGGGGTTACGTTGACGTTGTTGGTTTCATATTGGCCTATGTCACACCACATTACACCATTCAGTCCTGGACATTTCTATATACAGAAGTAACCATTTAAGTAAGTTATCATTTTCCATACGTTAGGCTTAACCATCGTTATCTTTGTACTGCATATTTCAATTCTTTCCCTCTGGCTAGTTGAGTAAAGAAAGACGATTCTAAGTTAATTTGGAAAATGAAGGATTAAAGAAGCTTACACAGATTGCGAACACGTTTTTTACAATAGCTTGCTAAAAGGGCACTCGGCTCATTTCGACGATTATATAATAGTACAATGTAATCATATAATGATATAATAGAATCAAACTATGGTAGAATCGATGCCAATCTTATTGTGTCGTCAACTTCCCACTCGACCTTCAATTAGATGATCTTGTAACAATTATATCGGATATATATTGTAGCCGATATGGAACATGTCTACCGAGTACGTTGAAATAGCTATGGGAGCAAAACCCTGTGTTGTTGTTGGGCGTCTAAAAGATGTTACGTTTCTCCGATTTCTATCGGTGGAAACACGCTGCATTAATTTGTTCCATGATACACTGGATGATCATATTGTATACTTTGTTCGGGTTTCTAGCATTTGCAGATCAACCGAGCTTCAGCAACTGAAAAGACCATAAATCAGCACCAAGGACATGTCCAACGCCGGAAACCAGGAAGGAAGGAAACATATTTTCGCTGCTGATTCGCGTTGCTTCGGTGTTTCAAAAAGTATGAACAAGGTAATGACACGATCCATATAAATACCCCCCCCCCACCAACGAAAAGAAATTGTACCTACCTTGTTAAATGTCTCTTGGAACTCTACACAGTACAATGTATAGTTGAGATGTTCGCCTGTATCACTTGCAAGTAAGTTGTTGAATAGTCAGAATATAGAGAAAGCCTTCATGCCGACAGCTTTGCAGGCCAAATGTCCGTAAAAAAGAGACATCGACGCTTTCAGGTTCTCACGTATTCTAGCTTCCATGACGTTGCTTAGTGAAATGTGTGTTCCATGTCAAAGTACTGCATGTAATCAATCTCTTGATTGGTTCATAATTTATGTAACAAACCGTCATCGCAGGCCCCTGTCAGGGTAAGGGAAACCTACTCACGTGACCACACAGACGTCTTTTTTATCTATCGATTCTTTTATGTTGATCTCTTACATGTTTTATGACTTTTAGACACGTGTTTCTATTTCAGTCCTACATGAAGTTTGTATAAGTATTGAAAGAGGTTCTTTTTACATAATGGTTCTTCAATTCGCCATTTGATTCGGCTATTATTTCGTTAGTATGTTGCATAGAATCCATACGATCTTATAAAAATTCCCACACGATTCCTCATACAAATTTGAATACATGTACACCATACAGATAACGTTACACGTGCACCTTCTTTGTAGAACTTTAGTTTACAAAATTCCTAATTTTCGTATGGAACTCCTTCTTTAGCTAGAAACAATCTGTATGCTTGAAGATCACAGGTACACATGTATAATCCCGTGGTACTTCAGTTTTTAGTAGCTGGCGCTGTAGAATATAAAATGGACATCAAAACCAATTTGATTTAATGCGAGGCAATGATAACGTTAACCTCCTTGAATGCAGTAATGAAATTCGTCGGAAGAGGTCCTCTCAACACGGTCACACAGCTGGGGCGTGTGTCATGTGTGCGAGTGCCAGGGATTTGAATCGTGTTCTTCAGACACGCAATCGATCTTATCAAGGACCTCCTTGATCTTTTCAAAGCAACCGGGAACATATGATGTCGGTGTCTTTTTAATGGCCTGACATACTTTCTCCATTGAATATAGTGTAACGGAAATATATTTGTCAACAGATTGCATTGTTATGTTATGTTATAAAGGATGAGCATTATCACCATCACAATAGCACCCAGATTCAGATGTCCTTTCTCACGGAGCTTAAAATGTTTTAGAGGAAATCTTTTATTTTGTGACATTCTTAGCCGCAAAAACCAGGCTTGTGCCCCCCTGGGAAAAAGTGGCAGATTCCGTAATCTGACCCTTGCACCTGCTACAATACCCCGGATGTTCGAGCGCCATTTTGAATGTTGAAACCGAAGAAAAGCTGGGAAAACAGTCCGATCGCCTCCCCCACTGGCACGGTCACCCGTCCTCAGGCCTCGGGATTACTGGACTCGATGTAAAAGTCGAGTTGATAATTGCTGACACGGTTGTTGGGTGACGTACACCGTCCTGGGACGCCCGGGCCGAGCGAGCCCCGCTGTGACCCTTGACTTGTCGGAGCGGTCTCACATCTTGTGCGCTATACCTGAGCGCTTCTTCTGTCCTAAACCACCGCCCCGGGGGGAATAGGTGTGCTGCAATTATTTCAAGTAAAAATTCCAGTCAGGGGAGTGATTCGCCATGTTTTCACGCAAGAAGAAAGACAAGGATAAAGAGTCCAAGGAGGAGCGTAAGAAGGAGAAGAAGGACAAAAAGGAGAAAAAGGAGAAGAAACACAAGGTAGGTGTGACGCCGAGCCGAGTTGTCGGATACCTTACACCCTGCACGTCCGTTTCTCTTCATTTCTATCGATCTATCGTAGGGCATGGGTCCAAAATAATCAATTTAGTGAGCTAGATTTTTGACAAATCTGTGCAACACGCACATACACACGAGTGAGCATTTAGGTCCAACATATTTTACCCGTGAGAACGCCCTACCAAATGGTTAACGATTGAAATGTATTACTTCAAAACAAGGTGTACATTTCGTAAACAAGTCATCGAAACGTAGACATCAACCGAAGACAGGAATGCATGAAATACACAGCAGATAAATACTATTATTAAACAAATCTTCGTAAGATTTGTAATTATGCTGGTGTCAGTATCACTGTGGTTGTGTAAGGTTTAGAAAATTATGAATGACTTCGCTTTCTTTTTTTGTTTTCGTATTCTTCACAGTTCTTCTCAAGGGGAGAACGAAGGGTACTGTGCTGCTTTCTTTCTTTTTACTGGAAATCTAACCCTGATTTTCTGAAAATCCGTCCTGATTCTATGATATGTGTACAGAATGAATGGAGGGAGGGAGGGGGGAGGGTTGGACAGATGGCATGGCTATTGATCTGCCTTCATGCATGGCATTGTTATGCAGTGGTAGTGAATTGTCCTTCTTCAAGTCTTGTTCACAACAATCAACTACAGGTTACAGATGCATGCTTCCTCACCAATAACACCCAATCATGCATGTGCAATGAATGAATGTAATGGAAATAGATCAGAAAGAAAATGCACTGTAGTTCTAAATGCATAGAGGTAAGCTCAGGTATTGTATGCTTCATTGTTGCGAACTACTGTTTTTTTTCGTATGGGAAGTTATACAAATAAGGAGGAACTGTTGTTTAGACAGTATTCTATGACTTTGTTTTGTCTTCCTTTTTTTTTGCTATTCAGGTATTTTTAAAATGTTATCTTTTCCTCATTCCGTCAGGACCAGTCTGGTATGAGCCACGAGGAACTGGCTCAGCTCGAGGAATCAGCTCTGAAGCGTGGGATTTTCAACGTGTCTCTCACACGGCGTAAGAAGCACCATCCCGACCAGGATTCGCTGGAGAACCAGCCGATGGCGACGCAGGCGAGCGACAGCAGCGAGACGTCCAGTCTCAGTTCCATGGGGCGGGGGTCCGGTCAGTTTGGGGCGGGGGAGGCTCTGGAAGGGGCTACGGCAGCACCTGTTCCGCCCCGCCGCAGCTCTGAAAACCGACCCCCTGTCCCTCCCAAACCTGCAGCGCGGCCGAAGAAAGGAATTCTTAAGTCGAGTTTCGGAAAAGCGGATAAGATGCGCATCTCAGCGTCTCTTGACGACACCCACACTCTGGCTCGGAATACGGTAATGAACGAGAACCTGTTCTCGGGAGACGAGGAGCAGCCGTTGGAGGCTCCTCCCCGGAAAAAGTTCTCCAGTCCGAGAGCGGCTCAGGCAGAAGTCCCGCTGTTCCCGACACTGGGCGAGAAAACTTTCAACGCCGACCTCAGGCTGCCCGCAGTAGCGCCGCCCAAACCCCCTCGGTCGCGTGACATCAACATCAACCGACAACCGACGGGAGATTTCGGTTTCTCCCTGCGGAGGGGCGTGATCGTGGAGAGAACCTACGACAACAAGGAGCTACAGAAGGTGGTGCACTTCGCCGAGCCGACCTTCGCGAAGAACAACCTGACGGGCCTGCTCCCCGGGGACCGGCTGGTGGAGGTGAACGGGGCGAACGTGGAGCAGTGCACGCGAGACGAGGTCGTGGAGATGATCAAGAAGTCCGGGGATTCCGTCAACCTGAAGGTGCAGCCCATCCCGGAGCTGAGCGAGCTCACGTCGCGTACCGGTAGCGAGGCGGAAACCCCCGTAGAGCAGTCCCCTGTGCACACTGGCACGCTCAAGAGAAGTGGCAGCATGCGGTACAAGAAGGACAAAATGGTTGGTGTTATTTTTGTTTTATACTTATAGATTCTATGTACCAAACATGTCTCTTCCTTAAGTTAATCTAAAAAAATTGTCAAAGGCTGGAAAAAAAACAACAATATAAGCACGATCAATCGTGTGCTGTTGTCAACACCCACTTCTCTTTATTCCCTCCTTCAGGAAATATTAAGTCTCCCACAGGAAATGTTATCCCACACATCTCCCTATACTGGAAGTCCTGCACGCACAGATAAGGGATGTTACCTAGAACAGAGATTAGCATCACTAATCCAGGCTTACATATGCACGAGACAGGGCTTTGTCCCCAGACACACGGCAGAGTTAGAACAATAAAAACTGGTCGAACAGGTTTGCCAAGTTGTGTCATTTGGCAGGCTGTAAGGTCACAAGTGTTTACTAGTGTTAGTACCAGTGTTACGTCAGAGAATTCGCTTGGTGCTTCCCTTTGGTAGTACTATTGAAGAAAAGGGAAGAATGAAACTATGATATACATAGCATTTACAGTACTGGTATGTCATTAACTTTTCATGATATTAAAGCCGTAAAAAGGGTTTTACAGCCTTGAAAACTTGAACTTTCAAGTCCCTTGTAAATTCTTATTCTTGTGTCCCTGACATATCAATGGAATGGAGACCCTACCACATACTAGTAGGAGTGTAGGATGGAGCCTTTGGTTGTGTGTAGGCATGGTTGTAATATTGAACATTTTCCCCATGATTATTTATGAGGAATAGTTAGTTCATTACAAATTATAAGGTTTATTTCCCCCCCCCCCAGGATTTATAGAGTTCTCAATATTTGTTTTAACATCAGGAGAATATTAAGTACTAAATGATCACTGATGCTAAACAGGTGTTAGTGATACATGTGTAGGTATGATATCTTTACCTGCCAGTGTTGAGAGTAACTGTGCCTGGGTAGTGTCAGGGGTCTGTATTGCATTAAGAAGAGTCCTGTTGAGATTGGATATCTCTGCACCTATTAACCTATGGTCCTGGGACAATGTATCAGACTAAATGGACAGGGGTTTGGGCACTGGGTTTGGTCCCTGACAGTATTTCATTCCTTGGTATTCCATTATTAGACAAAATCTTAATCATCTAACCCTATTTTTAATTACTTTTCTATCAAAGTGGTCGTCGTAAATTAGAAAATAAAAGTTTTCTTTTAATTTGAGGTAACATGTATTCTTAATTTCTTATGGAACACAAAATAATTCTTGATTTCTATAGAAAATCTCACCTTGACCAAAGTACATGTGTAATTTTCTTTTGTATTTCGATAGGCTAGTCTGCTGTGTTAGGTGTAAATGTCTGCTTGTGTCTCAACATCTGTGCCTACTTCTGTAGCAAACACAGACATTCTTCCCTGTAATGACCCCCATTTATCACCAAGGACATTCCCACCAATACAGGAAAAGCCTCTCCCAACTTTACACCACATCTAGAACCGCGCCGCACGCCGCTTTAGACAGCCCCACAACCTTAGCTTAGACGTTAAGCAGTGAGGCTCAGCCAAAAACAACAGAAAGTTGCCAGACTTTACCCACTGGTCTCTTGTAAGGTAAATATTGAACGTGTACATTTTGTCCGGGGCTGTTCGTACCCAGCACAT